GAAAGATTATTGGAGACTCTCTGCAGAGAAGCATGGACACTTGACTGATGGAGATATAGTGCCTACTCATTAGAATCATCAATTGATATTTTAGTACATTATTTTTAATCTGAGACTGCCTGATCTGTTGGATTACTTCTACAAATTCAGTCATCATGCTATACCTTGCTTGAAAAACTTTCTAACATTTTAATTATTTAGCATACTTAATTCTATTTGCATTTAATGTGTGTAGGAGTTTGTGGCCTTTTCGTAGGGAAGAAAGGAAGAAAAAAATGGCAACATGACTCTCCTCCCCAATTTGTCACTATGACATAAGCCCCTTCAGAATGAATGGAAGCTATTGGCAACATTTGGACCAATGGACCAGTTCAATTTGCTTTCATAGTAATTTCAGCTTCTTGGATTTAATATTCATATTTTTTATTTAGTCCCCTGTTATTTCTCTTTTATCCATATAATTTTAAGTTCCACCAGAGTGGGATCAACCTGGCTTTAATTTGTTTATTCTGTCATTAATTCTTCCATCCTTTTGCTCATCTATTTTGCCATAGTAACTGTTAATGACTCTACCAATAATAAGAGATACAAAATACGATATCACCCCATTTCTTAAAGATTTCTCAGTTCAGTGAAGGAGAAAAACAAGAAAATAAAATATTTTTTCCTCATTTCTTTTTTTTCAAATTTCTTTTTCTTAATATTACTCAACTGAACCTCGTATTTACACATTTCAGCGCCACTCAGTGAGCCAGAAACAAAGAAGACATTGTCTAAATCTAAAAAGCTTCGAATTGCATTCAGGTAGTGTACCAGGTCCTTGCCAGTGCAATCCAAGTGTTTGTTGCTGGATAATTCAAAAGCTGTTTGTGGCACTCATTCATTTGATACTCAACTAAGTGACTAGTAAACAGAATTTCCATTCATTCCACAAAAAGCTCTATACTCTACCAAAATATCCCAGGATTTTAATAGGGATCAAACTTCTCCCTGCTTTTCTCTCACCCTTATTTGTCGTTCTCTGGTTTTGAACTTTACTGTGTATCTTGCTCCCATGACTGACTTTTCCTCCAATTTTGCCCTTCCTTAGACCAATATTTTGTTACAGCATCATCCATCAAGCTGTTTTTGTACAACAACCTTTTGCTGAAGGTACACCAGAGGAAGGATCATCTGAAGATTTAATGTTCTCCATGGCTATTCCAGGTTCTCTTACTGCACCCGTGAAGGATTTCTCACCGGCTTGATTTTATAATTATGGGCCCTTGCTCCTTCTCCTTAAAGACCCTTTCCCCTCTTTTCAGAATTCAACTTCATTTTAAAGTCCCCGCCCTGATAGAGCCTGACTTCCACAGCTTGATCGTGGCATTATGAAGCAAAATGTTCTCATTTTTAGATCATACCTAGTGCCTTTAGCTTTTATAAATTAAAAAAAAAAAAGACAACCACCTAGCTATTTTTTTAAAGCAAAATAATTATCTATTTCTGAATACAAATGTTAACTCTTCCTAAAATGTCAGTTTCCTTTTTTTATGCTTTTGAAATATTCCCATTATAGTAATATCACACTCCAGACTTACACAGCAGATTTACAAAGTACATAAAAGCTAAAGATATACTGAGCTGTAAAAATTTGAAGAATACTAATACAAATATGTGGTTCTTTAAATAGTACTAATAAAAATATTGATAAATACACATACCAAGTGACTTACAGAAATAGGCAGATAAATTGTTTTCAAAGTTTTGTGTTTTGGAATTGTGTATATTTCTGATAATTTATTTATTTATACTCACAGATATTTGCATAGCAACCAGAATTAGGTCAAATGGCACACCGGCATACAGACACACAAGTATAAAAACATCTCATTAGTCAGGAAGTAGTGCGCATTATTATTAAGGCTTTAGGAAGATTCTTTTAAGGTTCAACAAATGGTTGTAATTTGAAATTTGCTCTACTTATTTGATAATTTCTATTACCAAGCTGTTGAAACCATTAGAACCATGTTTTCAAACTTTAGTATGTCAGTCACATAGGAAGTTTCTAATATGCAGATTCCCTCTCCTTGCACAAGAATCTGTGTCTGGGGACTAGCAGTTGGCATAATGGCTATGTTACTGGACTCCCATGGAGTCAACTGTAGTTCTAGTCCTGGACCCGTTGGCTTAAACTCATGCCTGGCTTGTGTGCATGCATGCCCAAGATCCTGAGAAGGGAATGGAGGAGAAGGGATTGCAGCATGGCCATCTCCCCTGGGAAGTGATTTCTGGCTTTCTATCTCTCTGTCTCTCTGTCAAATGCACGCACCCTATAGCAAAAAAAAAAAAAAAAAAAAAA